AAATGAAAGTCTGATGGGAAGGAGTATGAATCAAGCTGTGGTGCTTCTGCTTCCATAGTGCACAATTTAATCTACCAGTGTCGCCCAAAGGCCTACTGCAAATGGTTAAGCTAATCTACAAAGTAGAAAAAAAAATAACTCTATGAAAGCAGAAATGTGACTACACAACCCATATCGCATACACAAGATCAATCTCTGACACCTATTAGCTATGCAAAGCATGAAAATAGTGCATCAGGAAATCAAAAATTAGGGTCACAATCCCAAAACAAGGAAGGATTCTCAATTTTCAACGAAAATAAAGCAGTTAGTTATAGTTACACAGGGGAAATTACAAGTTCACGCGCGCACTCATGCAGTCTCTCACAATTTAAGATAGAGAAGCCAGCATTCAGATATTGGGAAATGAGATGGTGGTTCCCGCCAGCATAACAGCTATAACAGCACCGCCAAACCAGCCAAACCGGCCACAGTGAGGGGGAAGACACAAGTCGCGCAACAGCAGCCAGGTACAGTAGCCAGTGCCCTGCACGGAGTGCGCCCCGTCCAGGGTTCGGTGCAGGCGCCCTTGGAGGCCTCCGTCGTGTGCAGGACGTGTGCACGGTGGAGGACGCGGGTCCATCCAGAGTCCACCGTCCCGTTACGCCCGACTACAGCGGCCGTTGGGTTGGGCGTGTCGGTGCCGTATCCTTGCCCGTGGCCCCTGGACCCCTGGATGAGCTCTGGCTCTGCTGAGCCCCCGCTGGACTGGCTCGGGCTGCATTGGAGAGGGGAGACCGCTCCAAAACTAGAGTCGCAGTAAGCCAACGCGCACGTGGCCCACCAGAAAAATGGGGGCAAGGGAGGGCAAAATACGGGAGCTCGGCGCCTGCGAGACTCAATGTAGGCCATCCCGCAATACAGGCATGCATTGAAGGCATTATGTTGCGTACCTGTCAGGCGCTACGAGAGCTCGTGTTGCCTACCGATCAGGCGCTACGAGAGCTTGTGTTGGATCTCTTAGTGTCCCGTCCCTCGCAGGCATGCTGCAACGCGATACGGCGGGGACAAACTACTAAAACTACTCGTCTGATGGTGAGCCCCCCCCCCCTCCC